GGGAGGGAGGGGAAAAAAGAGAAAGAAACTAAATCACTTGAGTGGCCATGTGCTCATGACAATACTAAAACAACATTAGCATCTAAGTTGGAATTTCAGAGCTGAGGACAATACCTCAAAATCCCTGAATAAATAAAAAATTAAGTGGGATTATCAAGATCACAGGAAGTATTAGTAAAATGTACTGCTGAAAAAACAACTGGAGAGCAGGCAGCCAAACGTATATTCTGTTTGCATCCTTTGCTAGCATAAAAGTGAGGCCTTCTGGCCAAATGGAGCTGTTAAAAAATGTACGGACTTACAGATTTTCAACTGAAAAAGACCCTTCAGATCACTCAGTTACGCTCCTTATTTTAAAGATGAGACAAAGGTTCCTGTTTAGCGATGGACAGAAGAGTTCTGTAAGTCCAGTTTCCCAGTGGCTCCTGATGGTGAAGGAGCGTTGAAACCCAGCAGTGTCTCAACAGTCTGGCTGAGGCCACAGTGTACTTGGGAGCAGGTTCCCTCTGGCCCACACTCACAGACTCAGCCCTGCTGCTCCCTTCCCAGGCCACCATCAGGCATCGACTCCTTTGGTGTCCTCTGTAAAATCATGGCACAACCTGGTCACTTGTCAAGGTTACCCTCGCCCCCACCTCAAAAGGTTGTGAATGAACCTGAGCGCCTGGAACACACACATTCTTTACCTTTGCATCCTCAGTGCCTGGCATATAGTAGGTGTTCAAGAAACTTTGTTAGAGCAAATAAGCGTCTAGCAGAACAACAGCTGCTGGGGGGGAGGGGCAGGGGTAAAAAGTGTGTGTGGTGGAGGGGGAGGGGCGAGAAAATTCACGAAGTTGGATCGGACCTGTGAGAAAGGTGAAAGATCACCACTCAGTGCAAACTGACCCTTGGAGGTGAAGCTGATCTGGGGGGGCAAAAGACAAGGGAAGGGGGTGTTCATCACAGGCTGAAGCCGGCAGCTCTCTTCCCCAGTAATGCCAAAGGACAGCAAGCAGATCTGAAACCAGATTCTGCTAAAGCAGGAATCACATCCGAAAGGTAAACCTAGCCTTCGGGTAAAGTGAACACAGCTGCCTCAGCTTTTCTTAAATTTACATCTTCGCAAAGCGGGTTCACATATATCGAGGGGCACCGGCGACGCGCACTCCCGGGAGAGTGCAGCACATCCCGGAGGTAGGAGGGGGTCGGAGGCTCGGAAGCCCGGAGACGCGGCCCCGGCCCGGGCAGCCCGAAACCGTCACCTTCCCTGGAGCAGCGCCTTTCGCATACCTTTCGGGCCGGGGCGCAGGGCCCGCAGCGCCAGGATAAGCCCAGCCCCGCGGGTAAGTGGGACCTGGGCTGGGCAGGCCCGCAGGACCCTCCGAGCTCCAGGAATACCTCAGGCCACGGGTGTTAGGCGCCGTTGCCCGGGAGACGGCGCGGGGCATGCTGGGCAATCGGGAGGCTGCCCGACACAGTCTCCGGGCGGAGGTATTAGGCACCGTTGCCAGGGAGACGGCGCGGGGCATGCTGGGCAGTCGGGGAGGCGGCCTGACACAGTCCCCCGGCGGAAGTGTGCCGCACTCCAGCGGGCGGGGAAAAGCGGGCCGGCCGCGGGCGTCCGGCTTCCCTAACCTGACAGCCGCCGCTTCGGAGGTACTGCCCAGTCTTCCTCAGCGACGTCGCCCACCCCACCCCCATCCCCCCGCGCGCAGTCCGCTGCCCCTGGCTTCGCGGAAGCGGGCTTCCCGGTGACGTGAACCCGGGGACTTCCTGTCCGCGCTCAGGTGCGGGGCTTCCGCCTCCAGCCCCGGCTCGGCTCCGCAGGGTTTCTGACGGGGCTGGGCCTGTGGGAGG